CCCATCTCATTATGGAAATTTTTGCATGGGGCTCCCAAAAACAAGTAACCATTTAAAAGCACTGGGATTTGAGTTTTAGGACTTGGGTTGCCGTGGGTTCAAGGGCCCCATCCGTTTCTGTGTTTTTTTTTTTCATTTAGTAGGGGCTAAAACAATAAAGTTTTTGGTAGGGTCAGTCGCACTTTAGGTCACAGGGCCCTGAGCTGCTTTGGGGATTAGTGTGGATGGTTACAAGCATGGCTTGCTTCTGCAGTGTTTTAAAAATTGAGTTTGGAGAGTTGAAGGAGGAGGTCTTGCTTCCCCAGGAGGAGATTGGGGCTGAAGGTCCCCCTAAATGGGTCTGGGAGAGAGTGTGAGGTGGCTGGAGTTGTGGGGAATGAGGCTTCTAGCAGTGAGGGTGCAGTCTGTCTCTCGCTGGGGAGGAGGCTGTATTTGGGGGGGGGGGGTAGAAAACGGCTACCAGCAGTGAGGTGCAGCCCAGCACTTGCTACAAGTGGCGAGTGGTTCACAGTAATGGGAGGCGCATCGAGTAAGGAAAGTTAAGAGTGAAGATTGAAGGTAGGAAATCGCTTCTCTGTTCTTCAGGATGAAAGTACTTCAGTGGCCAGTGAAGGTAAGGGTATACTGCCCCTGCTAATGGAGGAAAGCACATTCTTGTGGTTGGTGACTCTCAGGTGATATATTGATCGTGTTTTTGTACAGGAAAAGAGATGAGAGATAGAGTGTGCTTCCGGGAGCTGGTGTTGGGGACATTGTCAACAGGCTGGATAATATCATGTCAGGTAATGGGAACAAGCCCATTATCTGTCTCAGTGCTGGGGGAAAATGTATTGGGAAGGGTGGGGAGAGAAGGCTGCTAGATAAGTACAGGTCAGCTACAGATTTCATTAAGTCTAAGGGAGGGATCCCAATCATATGTGGGCATCTTGCCTAGAAGGGGATAGGAAATGAATGGTTGTCTAGGGCAATTGGTGTAAATTGCTGGCTAGACAGATACTCCCGGGGGAAAACTTGCAATCCATTCATTGAAAATGGAACAACTTTTTTTGGCAAACATGATATGTATGCAAGGGATGGGGTAATCTCTCTGGGGCGGGGGTGGAAAGTACTTGCAGCTCGTTTGAGAAGGCCATTGGTAAAAATGCCTTTGATTTAAACTGATGGAAGATAGAGGTATGGGTGTGTGGGGGAAAAACAAGCAGGTTGCAACACTAGGGTTGGAAACAGTAATGTATAAAAGGCATTCAGCATGAAGTTATAAATAAAGGACAATAGATCAGGTCAGCAAAAAAGGGGGACAGCAGAGGGCAGCAAGGGACTAGCTCCCTTAAGGTTTACTATACTAATAGCAGGAGTGTAAGAAATAAGATAGATGAGCTAAGATTAATTGCAAGTGCAGGAAACATAGTATTATTGCTATAACAGAGACCTGGCTCGATCTGAAAGATAGAGAGATGCCCTCTGAATGTCACATACAAAGGTATAAATTATTCCACACTGACGGGGGTCAACAGGAAAGGTGGTGGAGTAGCGTGTATGTCAGAGAAAATTTAAATGTTGTGTTAGACAAGATATTAAATTAGAAGCGTCAGCCACTGAAACTGTTTGGTTACAGCTTCTCGAGGGCCCAGGGAAAAAATAATTTTTTGGGGGTGATTTACAGGGCCCAAATCTTGATAGGGAGTGCAGTAAATCTATGGGACGAAATCGTAAGGCATCTACATACGAAAAATGTTGTGCTAATGGGAGATTTCAATATAGACAGATTGACTGGAGCAATTTGACAGGAAATTTAGAGTCAGGTGACTTTCTTGATACGATCCAGGATTGTTTTTTAAAACAGTTTGTGACAGAGCCAACTAGGGGAAATAACCTCCTTGACTTGGTTCTTCCCAGTAGGGAAAACACTAATTAATAATCTTGAGGTTAATGATGAGCTTGGGGAAAGTGATCACAAATCACTCAGTTTTAATTATATCATGGAATTCCCTAATAATGGCACTCAAGTCTCCGTCCCTGACTTTCGCTTGGCTGATTCATAGGACTGAAAAAATTACTTAGGTGGGCTGAACTGGAATGACCTGACTAAGGGTCAGGTAGGTGGTGATGGTTGCCGATATGATGCTTTCCAGGGCATAGTTCTAGATGCTCAGTCAAATTATGTTCCAAATAGGGAAATCAGATCAAATAAAAATGATCCTAAATGGATGAAACAGTAGATTAAATATCTGATTGGTCAAAAGAGAGGCATATATAGGCAAATCAAAAGAGGAGAGGGGCAATTAAGAAATCGATATATTCAGTTAAAGAGAGAAATAAAAAAGGGAATTAGAAAAGCAAAAAAGAGATTATGAGGTTAAAGTTGCAAGAGAATCGAAGACTAACCCAAAAGGATTCTTTCAGGTATAAGAAGTAAGATCAGGGACAAGATAGGCCCACTCAAAAGTTCCTCGGGTCAGCTCACTGACAGTGATAAGGAAATGTGTTAGAATTTTTAACACATACTTCCTTTCAGTTTTTACACAGGAGGATACCAGCGATATTCCAGTAATGATAAATTATGTAGAACAGGACGATAATAAAACTGTGCACGATTAGGGTCACAAGTGACATGGTCCTTAGGCAAATAGATAAATTAAAAACCTAACAAATCCCCAGGCCCTGATGAACTGTATGCAAGGGTTCTAAAGGAATGTAAAGAGGAGCTTAGCACACTTTGGCTAATCTTTTCAACATATCACTACAAACTGGCATGGTGCCAGATAAGTGGAAAAATGGCAAATGTGATACCTATTTTTCTAAAAGGTGACAGGTCCTTAGCTTCGAACTATAGACCAATAAGCCTAACCTCCATAGTGGGAAAATTTATGGAATCAATAATTGCCGAGGCAGTTCGTAGCCACCTTGAAAAGCATAAATTAATCAACGAATCTCAGCATGGTTTTACAAAGGGGCGTTCCTGCCTTACGAATTTATTAACTTTTTTCACTAAGGTATTTGAGGAGGTAGATCATGGTAATGAATATGATTTTGTGTATATGGACTTCAGTAAGGCTTTTGACAGGGTCCACATCAGAGACTATTGAGGAAAATTAAAGCACATGGAATTAGGAGGAGAAATTTTTTCCTGGATAGAGGCATGGTTGACAAATAGGCAGCAGAGAGTTTGCATAAATGGGGAGAAATCAGAGTGGGGAAGCGTCACGAGCGGTGTTCCACAGGGGTCAGTGTTGGGCCCTGCTGTTCACAATCTACATAAACGACATAGATGGGGGCATAAACAGCGACATCGGCAAGTTCCCCGATGACACCAAAATGGGCCCGTCCAAAATTCATTCTGACGGGAATTCGAGCACCCCAGGAAGATTTGAAAGCTGTACAGGGGTCGGGAAGGGGATTGCGTTTAATTAGCAAATGCAAAGTTCAAATGTTGGACGGGGACAAAAACCATGCCACTATAAATAATAAGTAGCTTATTTTACGGATTGCAAAAAAAGATTTAGGGTTCGGGTTTTGCAGTAATCTAAAACCAAGACAACAGTGATAAGTGTTTGCAATAAAGTAAAAGATCCTTTGGGTTCATATCAAGAAGCATAAATAATAGGAGCCTCAGGTTGTTTCTTCAACTCATACAAACCTTTTGGGTTTGGCCCATTTAGATTTGCTGCACAGTTTTAGTACCGTATTTAGAATGGATATAAATTCTTGGAAAATGTCAAAAGGGGGATGAAAAGTTGATCCCATGTATCAGAAACCTTCCCTATGAGGATAGTAAGGCCCTGAATCTGCATTTAGAAAAGTGAATTAAGGGGGATTTTGAGGGGTAAAAATGGGAAGACAGGAATAAATAAAGGGGATGTAAATAGTGTGCTGAAAATATTGCCTAGACGGGACTACGGCAAGGGTTTTTAAGTTGGAAAAATTCAGATTCAGGAAGGATATAGGAAAGTAGGGTTTGGAATAGTTGTGGATGAGGGGAAACAAATCCCGAGTACAGTTATAGAGGCCGAACTTTGTTAGCTTTAAAATAGTTGGATAAATACATGAGTGGATGTGGGTGGGTTGAGTTGGCCCTGATAGCTTGAGCTCCAGGTGGGTTTTCCCGTGTTCCTCCCTTAAGTCAATGTGACCTGCCTGACTAGGTTGGGTGCATTGGCTTAAGCCGGTAGGGACTTGGACCTTTTCCTCGAATGGGCCAGTAGGCCTTCGCAGTGTTCCTTGTTTTTTTAGTTCTTTTTTATGTTAACTGTTGTTGAATTTTTTGGAAAAATTTTTTTTATAAAAAAAAATTTTGTATTTTTAAATTATTTTATTTAAAAATATTATATAATTATAAAAATATTTATTAATTTAAAATTATTTAAATATATATATATATATATTAAAGTTTTTTTATACAATTAATTTGAATATTTATTATACAATTAATATGAAAATGTATTATTATACAATGTTTATTTAATGTATTTACAGTCTATTTAATGTATTTGAATTAATATATAATGTATTTAAAATTACTGTTAATGTATTATCACGCTAGAATTTGTTTTTTTTTTGTCATGATGAGGGGAAATAAGTCTTTTTTAAAATACGGAGAAAAGGATATAAACGTCTTTTAATTATTTTTAGATACAAGTAAAGTTTTAATTTTAAAGTTCAATTATATAAATTATAATTTTGTTGTTGGTAAAGTGAACTCAAGATTTTGTTCGAATTTTTTGTAATTTTTTTGTTAAATTTTGTGAAAAAATTGGAGTGCATGTCGTGTTTTGAGAGAGAGAGAGAATGTTAAGGGGAATTTTAAAGTTGTTGTTTACCCTCAGGACTTTTTGCAGTCTTTGGATATTATCTTCTGGATTTGGGTTTAACCAAGGGCTCCACCTCACACAATTGTCGTGCTGTTGCTGCGGATAGCTTTGCCAGGGTAAAAATTAAAATTTCCTTCCAATATTTAGGTTAAAATACGTATATAACACTGGAGTAAGTGAGGAGAACAATGGTGACACGAGTTTTAGTTGTCTCTAACAACCATAATAACAACAACAACCTCTCTCTTATTCTCAGCTATAATCTGCTATAATTCACCAATAATTCAGCTATAATCCAGGGATTACACCACATCATCTGTTATAGAGCAGAGCATAACACCTTTAGGTACGTCAGCAGTCACTCAGGCAGCTATTCCCAGCAATATTCAGCTATAATCTGCTATAATTCAGCTATAATCAGCTGATTACACCACATTACGTGTTATACATCATAATATAACGCCTCTAGGTAGGTCAACAGTCACCCAGTCAGTTATACCCAGATATAATCAGCAATAATTCACCTATAATATCTGTCATTCACCTCTGATCAGCTAAAATCAGCTGTAATTCACCAATAATCAGCTATAATTTGCTATAATTCAGGAATAATTTACCTATAATCATTTAAAATCTACCATGATTAATTATAAAGTTTTTTCCATTATAAATTTAGTTAATTTTGAAGTTTGTTAATCATAAATTTAATTATAAAGTTGGTTAATTAGTAAGTTTATTCATTTACACGTAAATAAAGTTACATAAATTATCACACATAGAAGTATATATGTAGATTATCCACCAGGATAACCCAAAACAGTTAATTATAAACTTGGTTAATTATATAGTTATTTATAAAGTTAAATAATCATAAAGTTAGATAATTATAAAGTTGGTTATTTATAAAGTTAGTTAATTATAAAGTTAGGTAATTATAAAGTTAGTTAATTATAAAGTTAGACAGTTATGAAGTTAGGTAATTATAAAGTTAGTTAATTATAAAGTTAGGTAATTATAAAGTTAGGTAATTGTAAAGTTATTTGCAGAGTTGGTTAATTAAATTGTTAGCTAATTATAAAGTTAAAGGACACAAGTGCAACTAATGTGACATTTTATTGTGGCAACGTTTCGCTCTCCAGGAACTTTATCAAGCCATTACAGACAATAAGTCTGTAATGGCTTGATAAAGCTCCTGGAGAGCGAAACGTTGCCACAATAAAATGTCACATTAGTTGCACTTGTGTCCTTTTACTTTACATATTGTCGGTAATTCTACCAACTTTATTACAATTATAAAGTTATTTACAAATTGGGTTAATTATAAAGTTAGGTAATTATGAAGTTGGTTAATTATAGGGCTGGTTAATTATAAGCTGGTTAATTATAAAGCTGGTTAATTATAGACTTAGTCAATTTTAAAGTTGTTTAATTATACAGCTGGTTTATTATAAAGTTGGTTAATATACATGTTGGTGCAGGTTGTTGGCACTGACGGTCACAATGGCATCGACCAGTATAGCCAACAAGAGAGAATTCTACGAGAGAGATGAAAGGTGAGTGTTGTTCAGTTCCAGTTCTTGTAACTTGAGAATGCCTCATCTACACAGCTTGAAATTTTTAGCATTCGTTTAGGGTAACTAGGGCTAGATTCTAGGAAAATTTGGCATGTGTAGGTGCCCTAAGAGCAAAGTTATTGACCCCTGATTCCAGCTTCGTGTATTTGCTTAGATAGTCTGCAAAAGCCTCTGCTGTATAGCTCCAAATGATGTATATTTTATGTAAAATTGTGGGAAATTGAACACTTTGTGTGTAAAATAGTCCAAAGGTAATTATTGTATGTGTAAAATAATCTAGAATTGACTGTTTTGTGTGTAGAATAGTGCCTGGTGCATCTTAGTGCCAGAATAGTGCCTAGAATGGCACCCTGGATAGTTTATATTATGAACACAGGTGTAGTCTAATGGCCTGCACACCTGGCTGTAGCACAAAATCATTGAGGAATGTGCAAAAAGGCAGAAGAGAGAATAAATACTTACATTTCCTTCACCAAATAGTAATCAGGTATGTACGATACATACAGCGGATATACATGTATACAATAAGGCAAATGCAAGCAAGAGACACAGCGAGAACTGTTGTGACCAGACTGGGAGGTAAGCTTGCCAAAGTTGATTCACGAGAACTCCACATCGCTTCGCATTTTTGGCAGGCTTCCTTGTGATTGGTTGGTTGAACCAAGGTACTAGCATAACAATGGGGCCCCTACTTGTTATACCCTTATCACCTGGTTCACTGGTCAGGAGGGCATGCCTATATGGGTGTGTGTTACACACCAAATAAAATGTAACGTACTCTTAGCATGCTACAGTTTATAAAAGAATTATTGGAATTGGTGTGATAATACTTGGAGAATGATTCTTCTTGTTGACTTCAAACTGTCAACTCTGGTGTGTTGTTCAGACAGCCAGGCTTGTTCTTGGGTTATCCTGGGTTAAATAAGGCACATATGGTGATACTGATGGTGACACTGATGGTGACAATGATGTTGAAAATGATGATGACACTGGCAGTAACCCCTTCTGTATAAATTACTAAAAAAACAAGGAAAAGGAAACTTTATAAAATTGGGATGTTTGAATGTGCGTGGATGTAGTGCAGATGATAAAAAAGAGATGATTGCTAATGGGTTGTGAATGTTGCAACAAGGAGAAGGCTGGAGGCATTGGAGATGTCATGTCTGAAGGCAATGTGTAGTGTGAATATAATGCAGAGAATTCGTAGTTTGGAGATTAGGAGGAGGTGCGGGATTACTAAAACTATTATCCGGACGACTGAGGAGGGGTTATTGAGATGGTTTGGACTTGTAGAGAGGGTGGAATGAAATAGAATGACTTCGAGAGTGTATAAATCTGTAGAGGAGGGAAGGCAGGGTAGGGGTCGGCCTAGTAAAGGTTGGAGAGAGGGGGTAAAGGAGGTTTTGTGTGTGAGGGGCTTGAACTTGCAGCAAGCATGCGTGAGCGTGTTAGATAGGAGTGAATGGAAACAAATGTTTTTTAGGACTTGACATGCAGTTAGAGTGTAAGTAAGGAAACATTTATGAAGGGATTCAGGGAAACTGGCAGGCCGGATTTTATTTCTGGAGATGGGAAGTACAGTGCCGGCACTCTGAAGGAGGGGTGTTAATGTTGCAGTTTTTTAACTATAGTGTAAGCATGCCTCTGGCAAGACAGTGATGGTGTGAGTGATGATGAAAGTTTTTCTTTTTTGGGCCACCCTGCCTTGGTGGGAAACGGCCGATGTGTTAATAGTACGATACAATATTAAGTGGTAGTAACACTGATGGTGACACTGGTAGTAACACTGGGAGTGACACTGGCATTAAAAATGTATCGGACAGTGGTGGCTCTTGTATAGGCACCGTGGAACTGCAGCAACCCCTATTTTCACTTGATATTATCGATAACATTCAATATAATGAGTCTTTTTTTCTTTAATTCTTTCGTTATGCTTTAACATTATATAATTTTTAAGCTTAATGTCAGTAGCCATCCCCTAGTACAGCGACTCAGTGTTTGGCCTTTGTGTGCATGTGCACATGTTCGAGATAAGACGCTGCACGTAGGTAAAGAGAGCTCTGTCACTGACGCAGTGCTGACTCTGTTGTGCAAGCGTTGTGCTTATAAACCATGTATCGTGTTCTTGAATGTGATAAAATGTAGTATTAGGTGATTATCATGCTTCCAGCTATTTTATTTAATTCATAGTTTTTTTTTTTGGTTCTTTTATTTTACAGAAAATTTAAATAATTTAGTCATGGCCTCCTTGCATCCCCAAGAAATAAGTTCTGTGATTGTAAATGAACTTCAACAGCTTAAGTTTTCACAGTTGTCTCTCCATGAGAAAGTTACAGTTAAGAAAAGAGGCTGTTCAACACATGATATTCAATATCTTGGCCAGGAATAAGCAACAACAAGAAGTATATTCGTAGCTTTAATTCTGAATTGTACCAACGGAAAAGTCGACTTTGCAGCTGTTTTGCTACCCGTGTTTGCTGTTCGGAGATGATATAACTTTGACAAAAGACGGTTTTAGAAATATAAACAAAATGAAAGAAAAAACTGAAAAACATGAGAAGTCAAAGAAGCACGTTGAAAATGTGGTTTCACTGTCACTTTTAGGAAACATAAATATTAAGGAGAAACTTACTGAGTCATACAGACTTTCAGTCAGTGAACATAACATAAAGGTTAAAAAGAACCATGAAATATGATACAAAAACATAGACTGTGTTTTCTTTTATGGAAACTTTGAAACTCCCTTATGTGGACATGATGAAAAAGATGATTCAGTAAATTCAGGGGTAATTAGACGATTAATAAATTTTGCTCTAAATTAGATCCAGATTTGAAGAATCACTTAGAAACCAGTATGGCCTTCAAAGGTGTTTGTAAGATCATTCAGGATGAGATGATTGACTGCCAGCTACAAGTATACCATGAGGAGATAAGGACAGAAAATAGAAAGCTTAGCATATCACGGTGGGATTTGAACCCCGGTTAGAGAGCTCAAAACTCCATACGTCGCGTTAGCACGACCAGCTAGTTTAGCTTGCTACCAGTTGGCTAGCTGTCCAGTGGTAACGCAACGGTACGGATTTTGAGACTCTCGAATGAGTTAAACCGCCTGATAATGAGATGTTTCAGATGCATACGATTCGTGAGCAAAGTAGAGGCTTTTAGCTGTCATGGCTGATGACACAACAGATGTTAGGAATAACCGATGTCATGTGTTCTACAGTACGTGTTGCATCAGATGAAATATTTGAGCATTATGGATTTACCAAAAATCAAACTGCGATAACAATCAATAGATCTAGAAGAATTAGATATATCCTTCATGGAAACTTGATAGACTCAACATTTGATGTGTGCATGATGTATGAAAGAGAAATAAATCGGAGTTCAAGAACAAATTAAAACAGTTTTAGTATAAATTCATTCCTGTTATGTACGTCAAGAATATGAGAAATGCCAGTATTCACGGGCAAGTGGTTGAACTTTGTAAATACCAAAGGTAGGTAAGATGATTGACGTGGCTAAAGTGCAAATACATGACAGAATGAGGTGTACAGACATGTAGAGAAGTTCAAGACACATATCACGTGGTAGTGAATGTATGACACGGTAGTAGAGCGTTATAACTTCATACACTCGCGTTAGTCACTGGTAGTAACACTGTATGCACTGGTCAGTGACAACGGTAGTGCATGGTAGTACATGTTGAACTGTGATCCGGTAAACACGTGTAATGGTTTGTTTGCACGTAGTGCCATTGATTTGTGAGCCAATGTAGGAACTGTGTACCTTGGTGTGACACTGGTATGACACTGGTATGACATGTAGTGATACTGGTTGTGACACTGTAGTAACACTGATGACACTGTAGTGACATCTGGTAGTAACAGGTAAACACTGTAGTGACATGGTAAGTGAATGGTAGAACTGTAGTGCACTGAGGACACTGTAGTGACATCTGGTTGTGACACTGCGTAGTGACACTGTAAGTGATCTGGTAGTAACATGTAGTACACTGGTAGTGACACTGTATAGAACACTGGTAGTGACACTGGTAGAAACACTGTAGTGACACTGTAGTGACACTGGTAGTGACACTGGTAGTGATCACTGGTAGTGACACGGTAGTGACACTGTTTATGTAAACACTGGTAGTGACACTGGTAGTAACACTGGTAGTAACACTGGTAGTGACACTGGTAGTGACACTGGTAGTAACACTGGTATTAACACTGGTAGTGACACTGGTAGTGACACTGGTAGTGACACTGGTATTAACACTGGTAGTGATACTGGTAGTGACACTGTAGTGACACTGTAGATAACTGGTATTAACACTGGTAGTGACACTGGTAGTGACACTGGTAGTAACACTGGTATTAACACTGGTAGTGATACTGGTAGTGACACTGGTAGTGACACTGGTAGTAACACTGGTATTAACACTGGTAGTGATACTGATAGTGACACTGGTAGTGACACTGGTAGTGACACTGGTAGTGACACTGGTAGTAACACTGGTAGTGACACTGGTATTAACACTGGTAGTGATACTGGTAGTGACACTGGTAGTAACACTGGTAGTGACACTGGTAGTGACACTGGTATAACACAGTAGTGATACTGGTAGTGACACTGGTAGTAACACTGGTAGTGACACTGGTAGTGACACTGGTATTAACACCAGTAGTGACACTGGTAGTGACACTGGTAGTAACACTGGTAGTAACACTGGTAGTGACACTGGTAGTGACACTGGTAGTGACACTGGTAGTGACACTGGTATTGACACTGGTAGTGACACTGGTATTGACACTGGTAGTGATACTGGTAGTGACACTGGTAGTAACACTGGTAGTGACACTGGTAGTGACACTGGTATTAACACCAGTAGTGACACTGGTAGTGACACTGCTATTAACACTGGTAGTGACACTGGTAGTGACACTGGTAGTGACACTGGTAGTGACACTGGTATT